ACAATGATTTGATTTGTGAGCAGGTCCTGGGATAAGTGCTTGTGGGTCCAGCTTTTTGTGTTACACAGAGACAATAAACAGGGATTACAGTGCTGATAGGGATGTCTACAGGGTCACTTCACGAACTGCAAAATTCCTGAGACTGCTTAGATTCCTGAAGTATAGGAGTATATATATATATATATATATATATATATGTGTACACATATGTATATGTGTACATATCTATATGCAGATGCATGCTGGACTGATTAATCAGAAAGAAAAGACTAAACTTATAGCATCAAATTAAAGTGTTCAAGTAATAAACGTATCAGATATCTATCATGTACATATATATGTATGTATATGGTACACAGTAGATTCTCAAAGCATGTAGCTCTATAGGCTGATTGCATATTAAGTGCTCTCTCTTCAAAAAGTGGGTGAATATAGTACAATTTTGTTTTCAAAATTTGCTTTTGAAACAGGATCTTTGTTCAAAATGATATTTAAATTTCCATGTTTTTTCCAAAAATAATGCATGGCTATTTTTAAAATTTTGAAGAATGATTAAAAAGTATAAAGAAGAAAATAAAAATATTATATAATACTGTTATTCAAAGTTAACTACTGCTAACATTTTAGCAAAATTCCTTCCATGTTTAATTAGGTAGAAAAATTATAGACTGTTTTTCCCTGTTCTATTTTTAATATGTAAATAAGCATTTAATATGATGTTATATATTTATAGAACATTTTCTCTTATGTAGATGTGATATAACTGAATTAGTCAACTGAATATTTGGATTTTTTCAGTTTTATAAATAATGTGGTAAATTAATAAACGTTCTTCATGGTTTATGAAGTTAGAATAATATCCTAGAAGGAAATCTCTAAGGTCAAATCCTACAAAAAACTTTTGAGACTCTTGATCAATTTGTAAAACTATGATTGCCCTTATAAACGTTGTGTAGGTTTTTGTTGTGATTGGCTGTTTGGATTTGATTTCAGGACTTCACTTTTGCTAGATAGGTGCTCTCCCACTTGAGACTTGTTCCCCATCCGTTTGTGTTTTAAAATTTTTCTATATTGTCTCATTTTTCCACCATGGCTGGCCTAGTATGTGATCCTCCTACTTACATGTACTACTGCACCCAACTACTGGTGGATAGGTACTTTTGACCTTTTTGCTTGGCCTGCCTTGAACTACCACCTTTCCAATCTCAGCCTCTCAAGTGGCTAGGATTACAGTCTTGAGTCACCAACCCAGGTTAGCTGTTACTTTTTGTCAACAGTTAAAACATTCCCTAAAATTTTATTTAAGGAACACATTTTTGGGGGGAAAATCTCTTTTTACCACTATTAGAGATCTTTATTACAGCAGGAACTGAAAAAAAAAGATGGGGATCAGGAGGAAGCAAGGAATACATAGAAAATTAAGTCCTTACAAAGAAGGAAATCAAAGTCTTTACAAAGTTTGACACAGCAGTCAAAACTGCCAATTGTAGGTAAGTCAATGAGTCATGATGTATAAGTCTAGATAAGCAAAACAGTTATGCTGTTTTCAAACTGTAACAATGTAATGATATGTGAAGACCTAACAATATAATGATATGTGAATATCAAACCGTGTTTGATATTCCTTTATTTCAGTAAAACTCTTATTGTTGAGGATCTGCATTGTCCTTTCAAAGTGACTGCTCTTAGTCAGTGTTGAGTACTTTATTGTGACAACTAATGGATTCATCAGTATGAACACTTTCAATAGCTGGCTGGCTGAGCAGGTAACTCAGATTACATGCAAACCAGTACAGTGAAGCACTTGGAGATGCAGAACCCCTTCTGCTTTTCTTTCCTTTTCCCAATACATGCCTTTACTAGATACATATACTATCTCTCCCTGCTCAACCAAAAGACAAGAGAAGTGAAGATAGCAGATTGTTGCTTCTCTGAACCTTTCCCTGTGGGACTGTCCCAGCTACTCCATACCATCTTTCCCACCTGTCCCAGACCCCAAACACAATTTTGTGGCTACCTTAGATGAATAAAGGAGTAACTCTTAGTCTTCATTAACTTGGTACTTTTTCTTTTGTATCACACATCCCAGACAACAGTTAGGTCTACTTTAATTAGTTTATTACAAGTACAGATACCTTCTATTCTCCTTCTCCCTACCTTCTTCCAACTCTTGCCCATTTAGTTAATTTAAGGTTTGTTTGCTTTTCGTGTGATTTTTTTCCTATTTCCTTGTTCCTTTCAAAAGCCAGAAAAAAGCCCTAAATTTGGTCTGCATGTTCTTAATATACACCTTTTGTTAAGGAAATATAATCTTCTATCCTCATTTATAACGACTGCTTACATGCAGCTGGTAGGTCTGTTGACTGCAAACTATAGACCACAGAGCAAGAGTCAAGCTTGGAGTGGGAGAGTAGGCATAGACTTGATGTCATTCCTAGTAAACTGAGTGGAGAGTGTAATGCCAAACATGAGATTATGAGTAACAAGAAATGAGTGCAAATGGCAGGTGGCTTGAATAAACTCCAGAGATGATGGATAGAGCTTTTTTTTTCTTTTCAATCAAATGTATGTAGTTAACAGAAAATGAATAATGATGAGAAGTGATATGACAGTAGCCAGTGTCAGTGAGATCTAAAATAGTGCTTCAGAACAGTTCCTTACACAGTGACACTGTACAGAAAGGAAAGGGGCACCAATAGAAGGGATAACAGGAGGAAGCCAGACAAAACAAAGCTCTAACCCTTGAAAAATGTTAAGAAATTCCACTTAGACATCTTTTCAAACATTTCTGTTAATATTCTCTTCTGTCTTAAAAAAGAAACTTAAAAAATAAGGAGAGGAAGAATGCAGTAAAATAGTTAATGCATATTCTACAAAATTAAGAAAATTGAAAGATGTGGTAGGTTGGGAGGGATGGATGAGATGTTGAATGGGATGATACTGGTCAAGATGCATTGTATTCAGAAACTGTTTTGTTAAATGGCAACTCCTTTGTACAACTATCTAAGGACAATAAAAGTATTTTTTAAAAGAAAACCATAATTATTTTTGATTAAAGGTTTAGCTGTATCTACTACTATCTAATATTTTATGCTTTTTATATTAGCAAGATAATACATTTCCTTAGCTATAGACATTGACTGGATTAGATGACTACCTAATACTCCCAAAGACTATAATAGAATATTTTCCCTTGCATTTTATAAGCATTTGTAGTCCATTCTGGGAATTTAAATCTTATTTCACTTGTTGGTTTCTTTTCCAACCTGTATTTCATTGCAAGACCAAAAATTGCCAACTTATAAAGAGATTATTGGAAACTAAGCTACTTGTATGTTGACTTTCTGCACAGTATTTAAATTATTTTGAATATACAAAGGATGTTGAAATAGGTGGAATTTATAATCCTTTACACCTTAAAATTTGATAAGATCTTGTAATGAAATGCAATGCTTAACAATTTACCTGGTTTTTATTTTTAGAAGTGGTTATTTTAAAAGTCATACCTCCTGATATTATCAGCTATTATATTTTCCAAATAATTTACCTTTAAGAAACTTTTAAACAATGTCCATATTTGAAAGAATATTCAAGCTTCCAGGCATTTAAATTTTATTTAGTCTATAATAGGTTTTCAAAGTTTAAATTTTCATATTGCTAAATACAAGAAATGTAAATTATATTTCTGGTAATATGAATATTGTACATGACTCAGTTAATTGCAGGGCCTCTGCCACACACAGTGGAAATTTCGTTAAGTATAGAATTATTCTGAGGTAATAACAGAAGAATGTGATGATAGAATTATATTATATCTTAGGTCTTATAGGTCACAAGCCATAATGTTATTCTTTTTCTCCTTGAAGAGCACTTTAAATCTATTATGCTTTCTTTTGTTTTGAGTCATTGAAGCATTTTAAAGAAATCTTTCTAAAGCAATAAATTAATGGTCTTTCAGCAAAATTTTCACTCAAATGTCAGAATCACTACCTTTTACATTTTTCTTTCTCACTAAAACCATCTGTTGGGTTTACAATGCTGAAATGTTATTTTTGTCAAAAGTATTTATTTTTGCGAATGCACCCATCATTATTCTTTAAAATAATACTTTAAAAATCCTGTTAACTGTGTTTACTGAATTTAAGTATAAGATGTAATATGGCTGGCTCTTCTTCCCAAGAGGCTTATGCTATGTTTGTCATCAATAAAGATATTAAAGACACATAAATAACTGAGCCTTCCCTGTGGCACCCAGATATATGTACCTGGAGTGAGGGAAGACAGAGGCTACTGAAGGACATGGGGACCAGGGAGGTTACAGCTTGCCTGCAAAGATGGGAGAAAAGTGTGACACAGCAATTCCAAAGCTCTAGAACTGACTTGACATTTTTGGTCCCTTTGGTGTGATAGTGGAGACAAAGGCTTTGTGAAAGAGTTCTTGGCCTTGTAGCCTAGCTCTCCCATGGGATTTCAACAGCATTTCAGTACTCAGCATTTTGGTTTTCTGATGTCTACAAACAGATGAGGTGGGCTGGGAAGGTGGCTCAGTGGTAGAGTGCTTGCCTTGCATGCCTGAGGCCCTGGGTTCGATTCCTCAGCACCACATAAGCAAAAAGAAAAAAAGCCGGAAGTGGCGCTGTGGCTCAAGTGGTAGCGTGCTAGCCTTGAGCTGAAGAGCTGAAGAACAGTGCCCAGGCCCAGAGTTCAGGCCCCACGACCAGAGCCCCCACCCCCACCAAAAAAAAAACACAGATGATGATGGAAATGACAATATATATTTCACAATGGTACAGCAAGAACCATGTGAATTAATACTTTTAAAGCTCTACAGTATATATTGTTTCCTCAATAAGTGTTAGTTATTATTTTCTTGCATAATGCTTTTATATTTGGGGGGAGGAGAGAGTAGTAGTGGGGTATGAATTGATGCTTTGAACCCACTACCTCACGATTGTTAGGTATGCTTACTTTTTATAATTTTTATTTTTTTAATTTTTAAAAGACACAATACATTTTAAAGAACAATATACATACGTTGGGGAATGACCAAATACAGTTGACTTATGTTGCATATCACTTTGTAAGTCTTCTTGTAGAATTTTCAAAAATATTTTGGCACAGACACCACAGACTTACTCTACCATCTCTCCACATACTCCTTCCAACCATCCCAGCCTGCTAAAATATTTTATTGTGTACATATGCCACATTTTCTTTATCCATTCATATACTTGTGAGACACTGGAGTTGATTCTATATCCTGGCTGTTGAAAACATGAAAGTGCAAGTATCTCTTTAACATACTGATTTCATTTCCTCTGAATACATACCTAGTAGTGGGGTTGCTCTATTTTTAAATTTTTGAAGAATTTTTACAGTGATTATCCTAATTTGTATTTCTACCTTAGCAATATTCTTTTGTGCTTTATTGAGTCTGTTTAAGAAAATACTTGGATATAATTATTCCAAATGGAGAATGATTCTCATTTGCCTTGATAGAAGATAGCCATAAAAGTAAATGCAGGAAAGCAGTTCTATTAAATTGTAGCTACATACTGAGTCCTGCTGAGATTTCTGAGTGGATCTCTCTTCATAAAACAAACAAAACTCACCATCAACAAAGCAATCAGAATTCAGCAAGTGTTAGGCAGATTAGAGGGCATGCAGATTTCTTCTTCTTTTAGGACTGAAAGAGAACTGAAAAGGGAATAACTGAAAAGGGAATAGCTATTTAATTCTACCATCTATTCACAACTGAAAATAGCTCAGCATGTTTCCTATGTTTTTAGAGGGCTATTAAAAAATAAAGGGAAGAACTATTTTCACTTATTAACTATCTGGCTTGTTTTAAAGATGTGCTAAATGTACTAATCATTTTTTTTTCTTTTCTCTTCTCTTCTCTCAGCTCCTCCCCTTCCTTTCCTCCCCACAGGATTTCACTATGAACCTAAATCAAATCAGAACTCAGGGCCTTGAGTTTGCAGGCTTGTGCTCTACTACCTGAGTTATACCTCCAACTTGGCTTTTTGCTAGCTATTTTTGGAAATATTTTTGGACTTTTCTGGCTGGTTCCGAATCACAATACTTCTGGACCTCAGCCTACTGAATAGCCAGGATTACAGATATGAGCTACTGATACCTGGAGTTTTTAATTTTTTTAAGTGTTTTCAAAGTTTGAAACTGAACAAATGATATTTAAGCTGCTATTAGATCCATATTCTCCTTCCTTTGCAGACAGGAGATTAAGCCTAGGATGACATTTGCAAGTGATGCTCCAAGAATATGCACAAATTACTAGCCAAAGAGAAACAGAATATGATATATTCCTTAGGCCACTTTCCAAGTGGTGATAACATTCAGAACTTGGTGTATCTATTAACCTTGTAATTAATTAAAAATAAATTTGTGTTTGAAAATTTAACATGAATTACTTTAGAAATTGCTAAAATTACTTTGCGATTTCCATGCTAATTTAAAACATTCTTACTCTCAATATTTTATTGAAGGGGCTGGGGGTTTAGCTCAGCGGAAGGGCACCCACCTGGTGAGCGCAAGGCTCTGGGTTCGGTCCTCAGCCCTGGAAAAAGAAAAGAAAAAAAAAAGAAAAAGAAAAAATATATTTTGTTGGAAATATCTATTTAATCAGAAGTAGGCAGCACAAATCTTAGATACTTTTATTAGGAAATGTAATTCATACTAAGAACGTCTATAAAAAACAAACATTCCATTGGCTATTCAATTCATATTTTCCATTTCATTTAATTATTCACCAAAAATATTTGACTATTGCCAGCCCCTATTTTAGGTACTGAAGCAGTGAACAAAAGATCACATAGACAAAAACATCACTCAGCTTAGAAATTACATTCCAGTAGCCTTTTGGATATCATTGATATATTGCTCATGATATAAGGCATCCATTTATAGGAAAATTATTTTATTGTGATTTGGATTCAAAGGGATGTTACAAGAATGCCATTATCTTATTCCTTGATAGCAGTGTATATATTCATCTGAGTGTGTATGAAAACATAATAAAAGAAACAACAAATAATATTTTTCTTTGTCTCTTAGCCTTCCTTTCATTGTTATTTTTAATTTTATAGAAAAGCCCTGAGATAAGGGAATCATGACTTATACTTGTCTTTGTGTTCCCCAAATTCAACCTTAAACCTGGTACCTAATTGAATTGTGCTCAGCAAGATATACTAAATAAACGAATAACTTAGATATATAGGTATTTATAGTAAAAGTGCACCAGAAGAAATCAAAACGACTATATGCATGTTTAACAAGAGATATCCAAATGGTCTGAATAAGAACTATTTTTGTTCCCATGTTCTCTTACACCTGTCTGGGATTGCCTCCAAGAACATTCTAAAATCCTGAAATTGGTTTCCTCCAGAGGACCTTCAGAGAAGAATCAGTCACTTTGTTAGCTTACAGGATGGAATGCGCATCTCTAATACTTCCCATAACAAATCACTAGGACCTGTGAGTGGGAGAAGTAGAGTGTGTATGTGTGTTTTGAAGGGGAGGAGGTGGTGCTTACTGGTGGCATGGGTAGCAAAAGTCATCAGGTGTAAAACAAAGACTCAGTGCTGGATCCTCTGAGTTGTATATAGGTAAATATGTCCTTCTTGGGGAGCAGTCATAGTGACTACAGTGTTGTCACACAGTGATAGGAGAATTGGTAGCCTAAAAGCTTAAAATGTTATTTTTCTTTCATTTTTTTCCTCCCACCACCTCCCCCAGCACCATAGGGCATGTAAGCAAAGCAAAGTGGGCCCCAAATGCCATTCTTAATGTGGGAAGAATACACTATCTAAATGTTCCCAGAAAACAAACAAGGAAAGATCTCAGTGTTTAACTGTAGAAAGAAACAACCAGTTAAAGTCGGAGGAGAGTTTCTACCTTGACACATTTCCTTTTTCAGCATCACATTCAGAGGCATTGTCTACAAGCTCAGGGAGAGCTTGTAATATCAATTCTAACTCTGGAAACAATTGCAGGGGACAGCTCAACAGTGCAGGTAATACCACTCATTGCCTAATTCATGAATCACCGATTGAACATCATTATGGAAGTTCTTTATTCCCTAGTTGTTCACAATAGCGCTTGCAAATCATCTGGATGAAAGAAAGAGAAGTTTGCAGATCTTTTTGCTTGAAGGTTCATTTAACCTGTCTTTCCCAATCAACCGACAAATTACTTCAAGACTTTATTGAACTGTAATAATCTAAATTTGCTTTCTCTTTAGCAGAACAGGTTCTAGAGCTGCAAAAACCTTGACAATTAGAAACGTTAGAGAAAATTCCAGCAGAAGTTTCTTTTACTAAAAGAATAGTTTCAGGAAGTAAACATACTCACTTATTGGAAGTTTCACCATAACTACAACAAACAGACCTTGTCACTAACACTTAAAAGATGCAACCTTAATGCTAAAGACATTTTCCATTGTGACATTACTCATTCCTGCTGGCTTTTGCAAAAAGAAAGGGGAAGTGGGGAGAAAGGCCCAGTGCTTTAATGTCTTTTTCTTTCAAAATCATCATCTCGTCCCTAGCTGCAACATAAAGATGTGGTTTGCAGAATTTCTCATCTCAAAGAATGCCTTGTAACGCAAGGCATTGTCAGCAAAGTAGGCACACTCTGGGAGGCCAGCCAGAATGTGGGAACTGCCTCCTATATAAAACTGGATTTTATTATGTATGTTGAAACAGGATTCTACCTGTATTGCAGTAGTTCTGTATTAATGTCCCCAATGCTTTAGGAACCCAACATTAAAACTTGGAATGCCCTTTTTTTTAATTATCAAAAAAAAAGAAGGAAAAACAGATTTTTAAGACTTTTTCCTCAAGATTTCTGGCAATAGCTTAAGAACATTTCTGGAGGTGTTTTGATACTTTCTCTGGATAGAAAAGTTAATGCAAACCCAGCTGGAAAACAAGAATCTAAATTGTGCCTTGGGAACTCTTACTTTGGCATACACCAAGGCAGTGAGTACCAGCACCGTTTGTGTACACCTGGTTAAATAGAAAGCATTCCTAGTAAAATAACAGGCAGATTTCTGAGAAGGCGAAAAGGTCTGGAATTAAATGACCCGACGAAACCAGAGGTTCGTCAGGCCTGAGAGTTGCACCTCAGGTTTGGTGGTTTCCTCCCTTCCTCCTCCTCCAAAGCCGAGGCGGTGGAGGGGCGAGGGACTGGGGGAGGGGGGGGCGAGTTCTTCCCGCGCCGCGCACCTGCCGCCCCTCCTCCGCGCGCGGGCAGCAACTTCCCGCCGGACGCCAGGCCCGCAGCACCTGGCCCACCTGGCTGCCCACCGGCGGCCCTGCCCGGCGCGGGTGGGCTGACTCCGCCCCCCCCACCCCCACGCTGCTGCGTGGGCTCGGCGGGGCTGTTCTTTGGAATACTGTATTGGGGATGTCGCGCACACTCACACACGCAGCGTAGCAGCCTGCCCAGCGCCCTCCCCGGCGGGGAAGCAGGCCCCGGCGGCGCCCGCGCCTCCCCGCCTCCGCCCCGGCTCCCCTCCTCCTCCCCGGACTCACGGGAGCCGCCCCCTCCGGGCGCCCACTTGGTTCCTCCCAGCTGCCGTGTGAATGGGCCGCGCTCCGGATTCCGGGGACGGAGGGAGGGAGGGAGGGAAGAAGGGAGGGAGGGGGTGGAGGGGAAG